TGGGGCCGCGGCCACTGCTCGTATGGACTGGGTTAAAGTTGTTACTTTTTCTTTAAGCGAGGCGAAACCTGGCATTCCGTGTTTGTCTCGGTGGCGGTGCGGGCAAAGGCGGTTGTGACCCGCGGTCCTTGAGCTCAGCGGCTTGCCCGAGTTTCCTCCACAGGTTGCTGCCTGGTTTAAGTATTCGTTTTTGGTGTAAAGCTTATCTCTGAACCAAATCAGTTGCTTTTTTTACACATTTACGTTGCAGAAAGAGCTAATTCTGTGTTTCTGTTCTGGGTTTCTGTTTTTTAGCTGGAATACTAGTGTCGTCATGATTCTGAACCAGATTTTGCGACTCTCATCCATTTTTCGCTCCGCTGTGTCCACTCAGTTGCGCAGAAACATAGGGCTTTCTGCTGTCGTCTTTAATAAGACAAAAGAGCTCGATCCAGTTCAGAAGCTCTTCTTGGACAAGATCAGAGAATACAACACAAAGAGCAAGTAAGCAGAGGAAATTATTTTAAGGCTGATGGCAAAAAGGGGAATAATGTTGTTTTTGACAAATGCTGAAATGTGCTAGGTTTGTGGGCTGGTCTGTAAATGCTCAAGGTATGTTTTCCTGAAATGCTTGATGGTAGTGTCACAGGTAAGAAGGCTCATTCTTGCTTACCTAACAGACAATGGCCATTTTTGGTTTTCCTCTCTTAAAAAGCGAAGTAAAGCTGATGCCAGTCTTCATGGGGAGTTAGGGCATTCAGTTGCATGCTACATGAACGTACCAGTATGTTCATTTTTACCCATAATTGTGCTCTGTAAATAGGAAAAAAATACGAACACCCTTTTTTCTGGTCTGGGGAAAGCGGCTGTTCTTCAGTCTTGTTTCCAGAAGCTGAATGGAAATAGCCTCCAAAAGCAATTGAGAATTAATGGAACTGTGAGGCTGTTTCATTAAATATCTCAAGTTAATAAGCAGTTAATTTAAATGGGATCTTAGATTCTTGTAATGCTTGAATGAACTACTTAATAGGAAATTAAAGCTCTAGCAATTCTGTGTAATTTATTCTGGGGAAGGAAATCAGCCATTTCTTAGTTCTGTTTGTTTCTTAGTTCTATTAATTTCCACACCTACAAACCAGCCTGCTTATGGAGGTGTATTTTTGGTGGCTTTACCAATCATAAGTGTGCTGGCTCAGCTGAGCATTGGTAATCTAAAGAGTTCCTATTTTAATTATTTTACCTTTATATCCTGAGAAATTCCTGTCTGATTTTACATGAATGCAAGGTGCCCTGTCTCTTGGGTTTTTTTGCTTATTTAGTACTCAAAACATGACCTCTTTGCGAGAACAGTTAAGCTTTACTAACCAAGATCGCTGATTCAGACATAGTAGAGGTATGAATAACAATTTTGTTAGGAAGTCACACCTGGAACAAGTGAAATTGAGAATCCTGAAAGCCTGGATACTTGGTGTAGCCTTATGTCTCAAAAAGCTACCTCTGTCACTTGTATTTTCATCACTGATAGTAGAAAGCCTGTACTTTACCCTGAAAACCTTGTTCATGTGGAAGACCCTAAGGAGTGTCATATCTTGACTTTTGGAAATATTTTAAATGGCTTGCTTTAGTTGGTTGTTAGAAAGGTTCTGAGTTTGTAAATGGCCATGAAAATGTAGACCTTCCACATGAAGCTTCAGAACTGAACTGTTAATCAGAACTTTGAATGGTTTTATGTTTGTTTTTGTAGGCAAGCAGGAGGGCCTGTTGATGCAGGCCCTGAATTTCAGAAAGAAATGAACGAATCCCTTGCTCGACTTCAACGGGCATATGGTGGGGGAGATCTAACTAAGTTTCCAGAATTTAAATTTGAGGGTGAGTTCACAATCTTATTTAATTTCTAATTGCAAGTAAGGGCATGTTCACTGACTGGTTTTCTTAAGTAATTCCCATTTAGTTTTTATTTGGTCTGTTAGTTTCATGTAAGATGCCCTTGGTCAGTCCCCTTACTTTTGCAGACTTCACAGCTGAATCCATCTGGCTCCTTTTTTTGATTATTTGCCTTTCCAGTAGACGTGTGGACTCATTTATCCTGATGCTTAACAAAACTTATGGTCAGATCAGGCTATCTTAAGTTACCTTTCAAAGACCCTAAAGAAATATCCCATGTTTTGGGGCTTTTTGCTGCGGGTTTTTCTTGTGTGTTTGTTTGTTTCTTCTTCTCATCCTTCCAAAGATGTCATCAGACTAATTTGAAAACTAGTTTTCTATGTCACCCAAAGTGCAATTTGTAAATTTTGTAAGCTCATCTGTAAAGTGAGTGATTTCAGAAAATGAACCCAGAACTTAACTTGGTTACTTATGATTACTTTGTGACTAAATTACATTAAACCTCTTTCTTTGGTTATTTGGGTATGGCTTCTGTTTAACTGCGCTAAGTTTCTGTGAGCATGTTTCCATGTTACCCAGATTAATTATGACAAGAAGAATGCTTGTGACAATTGTTTATCAAGAATATAGAGAAACTGCACAGACTCTGTCTGCCTCAGGACATAAAGCCAACTTAATTTTTTTTTATGGACAGGCTCATTCCTGTAGTTCTTTTTCTTTTACATGCATGTGTAGGTACAGCTCAGAGTCTTCATTGCTCACAAGCACTTCTAGCTTACCCCCCACAAAACCTGACTTTATCTGTCTTTCTGGTAAGCTGTAAGCAGCTGGTAGCTGGGATTCAGCAATGTTCTGTATGCGCCAGTGTATTTGGTTTATGTGGCAAGGTTTTGGTTGCAGGGGGACCTCTGTCAGGAGAGGTTAGGGCGTATCCACACATCAGACAGAGCCAGTTTCATCTGGTTCAACATGGATGCACTGCAGGATGCACCTGAGCTAGTCAGTGATGCTGGTGGCACCTCTGTGACAGCATATTAAAAGGGTGAAAAATGCTGTCTCTATCTGTAACCCTCCTGAGGAGGGAGGGAGAGAAAGAGTAAGAGAGCATAAGGCTGGGTAGACACCTGGCAGCCAGACAAGGTCAAGCCACCACAGACTAACTGGAACCTCTGATACAGACTAGGAACACATCTAAAAATGTTTTGGGTTTCAGTGGTATTTCAGTTGGATTAAGAAAGGATTTGGTGTCAGATTGTTACTGGTGCAAATAAAACTGAGCATCTATAAAGTAGGATCTATGGCATTTCTTTTCCTCAGTTTTAGGGATGCAATTTCTTTATATTCAGTTTTATTTCTGTGTAGTGTGTGAAACAATACATTAAAGTTTAGGATTTCTCTGAGATCAAACAAAACGTGTGTGACTGCAGGAACAGCACAAAGGAGGGGGGAGACTGTTCTTTTACCACTGTTGCCTATCCTTAATCCAGTTTCAACAAGCCTGCAAAACTAAGTGCCTAGATGGGTAGAAACTTTAAGTTTTTGTCTTAATGAAGATTAAGATGAGCTTTCCTCTCAGACTCCTTGTAGCAAGGAGAACAGGTGTTACAGCCCACCTGTCTAAAGCCCTAAAGTCCTTTTGAGTTTGTACCTTTGCCATTGAGAACTCCTTCATCAGTGTTTGTATGTGGAGAATATTTTTTGCTGAGTGGAGTTGAAATTGTGTGCTCCATTCTGTTAATCAGCAGTAAGACACTAATCAAGAGGAAAGAAGAGCTTGGTTACTTAGTCTTATACCAGAGCCATGTTGGAAATACTAGTGTCAAGGTCCAGTAAGTTCTGGTTGATGACTTCATCTTCTCTGTGCCTTCTCCCCTTCCCCAAGTGTTGCTAAAGCTGTTTAAGCAGAATGTTAGCAAGGTACATGTCTGTCTTAAACTTTATGCATAACTCCTTTAAGGTGCAAAAGACCCATCTCCAGCGTAGTTTATTCTTTAGTGCTGCCCACATCCAATCATACCCTGACACAAAGTAAGTGGTAGCGTACAAGAGCTTGCTTTAGCTTGCCAACTTACTGTTTAGCTTTCTTTAAGTAACAGATTAATTGTGCTGTTCAAGGCTGGAATGAAAAGATGCTAATACAAATTTTCTCTCTCCGTTTCCTCCTCTAGAGCCCAACTTTGAGGAGACTCCAAAATGATTTCTGTAGGTTGCAGCATACCAAGCAGCAGCATACAGCAGTGGAGTTGCTGAACATGGCACCAGTTGTAACTTAATAAATGCAGTGTTGAAGTTTGATTTCAGAAGTGTGAAGAAGTTCTTAACTGTATGGTGAACATAGTTAGCTATGATGTTCAGGTGACTGAGGCAGCTGAGTACCGTTTCTCAATGTTAACTGCAAAGCTGTGTTGTAGTGCTGAGAAGTTCTAACGTTGATAATGACACATCAAGAAGGAGCTGCTTGTTTTTCTGAGTTGGTCACATCCAGAAAGCTGCTGCAGAAAAAAATCCCATGAACCCTAAATCTGTAGCAAAGCTCTGTGGTAGGAATGGACCTGCAGAGCCAGAAGTGTAGGCACAAAGTCCACTAATTTTACACTGCATCAATGAACACACAGATAAAGTGTTATTCTTACAGAAGCAACTGAAACTTGTTAATGAGGTTGCGAGATTTAAATTTCAGTAATTTAACTACTGACACAGACACTTCAGGTTCAGACCAACTATTTATTTGTGACACTTCAACAGTTGGGATCCACATACTACAACCTGAGTTATACTGGCATCATTTTTCTTCAGAATGAAATTACATATGCAGTCTACAGAAAGAGTGAGATGGAGACTTCTTTCTGGAAGAGAAGCTGAAGGCATTTTATATTAGACAATGAACCACTGCTTCAGGCTCAATTACAGGAAGCTTAATTCTGTTAGGATAGTGAGTTTAAAGTCTGCACAACTACTTATACACAGATGGCGTTGGCAAACATAATACAATGTCAAGGTATTAAGTCATCAGAATTGCAGGAGAGTTTGAGCCCTTGACAATGGGGTAGACATAGGTAGTTGAAGTAGGGGTAGCAAGATCACCAATGAAAGTTATTCGAATAGATGGTTCCAAGCTGTAAGAGTGAATCCAATATTGCTGTACATATACATGAACAAAATGAGAATAGTAGAATGGTTTGACAGGGAAGGGATCTTAAAGATCACCTAGTTCCAGCCCCCCTTCCACGAGATCAGGTTGCTCAAGAAGTCTTCACACAAGTTGACTTGTATATTCAGTTTAATTCTACCTTTAAGTTAAGGGGGTTTGGTGGTTTTGGGAGTGGGGGGTTTGTGCAGTTTGGTTGGGTTTTTTTTTCTCTCCTAAAAAGCAATCACAACTAGGTTGACTGGATCTAAACATTGGCAGTTTCTATTTTCAGCATGTAGTACATGGAAACTATTTACAGAGTAGAGGTCAAAAGATCCCTTTGATACTTTTGTATAACAAGTAGTCATTTGGTGTCCCTCACAGAGGCTGAAATCTTCTAAATAACAAAGGACTTGGTATGCTTGAAATCCTAAATGAAGCAAACAAGTTAACATAGGTAATAGTGCAAGGATTTTAACCAGATTAACATTGTACATTTCAGAAGAAACTAAGGCATCAAGTTTGAAAAGAAGCATGCCCAAAGCATTATTAGTTAACATGAAAGGGAAGTCTACACAGTACACTGCTACACAGAAGTAACCTATTAAAAACTACAAGTATCAAACAGCTCCACTGAGCATCTGATTAGTAAGTGCTGCATTAATACTGGAAAAAAGATACCAGCTTTTCAAAGTTTATTCCTTCCCACCCTGAGCAACCAGGCAGCTGGCTTCAGTAAGTTTCTTACATACATATTAGGTGAAGGAGTAAGCTTATGCTGTTTAGTGTGTTCTGTTTTGATTAAAGAAATGGGTGGTGTTCAGCAAGCTTTTAAGGCTATTAACGTAACCTTAAACTATAGATAGCAAAATTAAGTTGACGTTTTAGTTGGAGCTCCATTCTTGCACCAATCTGAAAAGCTGGAGCGACTAATGTGCAGTTAAAGCCCTTGAACCCTCTCAAGGAAGGGGGGAAAAGTAGGAAGCGTAGCTTCCATACTCAGTAAAGCCTTAGAGAAACTAAGGCCAAACCTTTCTCTCACTGCTGCCTTGAACTCCAACTTAGTTTCCTTGGTTAACTGAGTGTACAAGCAAGACAGAGTGGAAGTTTTCACAAGAAAAGGCATCATTTAGTGGATAGATGATACTGGCAAATAGTATAAGGGTGTTTGTTACTCTTCAGTTTATCTGATAGCTGGAAAATAATCCAGAACATTTGAAAGAAAAAGAATTAAGGGACTAGAACAGGGAGAGACTGAGAAATAGAAAGCTATAAATGCAAACAGAGAGAAGGTGTTTCCAGGTACTGGTGGTGCGTACAGTTTGTCAGGGGTGGGAGTATGTGCAAAACCATCAGAGATGGGTAAGTTTTGAAGACATCCAAAATTTAAACCCGCCACTAAATACAAAATACTTGCCTTTTCACTTGTAGATTGATAGTTGGTCTTCTTCCTGTTAACAGAGCAGGAAAGGAACATAGGTTAAATAGTGACTTTTCTGGTGTTATGTTTTAACCCTTTGAGAAACTTATTTATGAATAAATCCATTGAATGCTTTTAGGTAGCTGTCATTGACTCATGAACCACTCTCGGGTTACCTTGCCTAGCTTGTCTTTTCAGGTCTTCAAGTTATGCTTTTTGTCTAGTTCATGGCCAGTGTAAACCACACAGTATTTTGAAGTAGTATTTGTATTTCTTTAATATATATTTACATGCTATTACCTAAGAATGCCAAGATAAACCTAAGAAACTTAAGTGCCTGAAATAAATCATCCGTATCAAGTGAGTAGACCAGACACCCTCAGAAGGTTTCTACCAGTTGTTTTTTACAAACCATTTCCTGAAATTATCTGTAGATGTGGATATGAGGATAGTTCAGTTTGGGTCTGATCGTCTAGCTAGATCATTTGACTAGAGCACCTCCTGTACAAAGACAGGCTGAGAAAACCGGGGCTGTTCAGCCTGGAGAAGCTACATGGAGATGTCATAGCAGCCTTCCAGTATCTGAAGGGGGCCTACAAGGATGCCAGAGAGGGACTCTTCATCAGGGACTGTAGTAATAGGACAAGGGGTAATAGGTTCAAACTTAAATACAGGAAGTTCAGGCTGGATATAAGGAAGAAGTTCTTTACTGTGAGGGTGGTGAGGCACTGGAACAAGTTGCCCAAAGAAGTGGTAAATGCTCCATCCCCGGCCGTGCTCAAGGTCAGGTTGGATGGGACTTGAAGCAACCTGGTCCAGTGCGAGTTGTCCATACCCATGGCAGGGGGTTGGAACTAGATTATCTTAAGGTCGCTTCCAACCCAAGCCATTCTATGATCTTTTGTCTGGTTTGAAGAGGAGAGAAATACCTGTAGCCGAGTTAGTGGTTTAAACTGGAACTATGTAAAAAGACACATCTCTGTACACTGATCACAGTAACAATTCTTCATTATTTTCTGACCAACGTGCTGGTTCTAGTAAGGGAACCAGCTGGTGTGTAGGATCAGGTGTTCAACAAAGCCACTGTACAAGAGCCATGAGAGAAAGGCCTTAAGCACTCATCGTGGATGACTAAATCAGAAATGTAGGTGAAGTTTGCAGTGATTTGTATACAACCTTGCATCAAGATACTTACTGGGAAGAGCTTTCCTCTGAAAAAGAGAAAAAGAAAAACAATTAGCACAAAAGCAGTTTTCCTAGCTGATTTAAAGTTCTTTGAAATAGTTATTCGAAGCTTATTCAGCACTTCCGTTTCTAAGAGTTTGTGAACCAAGTGTCTCTTCTGGTGTGAATTTGGACAGAAAAATATTAGGTTGCTTTCAAAGGTAAATAAACCTCCAGGTAAACATGAACTCTAACAGCAGCTCTGTCAGCCTGTTACTTTCAGGCAGTGGACCTTCTCAGACCCCGACATTTGGCATCCTTTCTGCACGAATGTAAACCCTGAGAAGAGGTTGTTATCTTGGTGTCGAGCTTTTAGTAAGCTTTAAAAGCAACTCTCTCCACGTGCACTTTCACCACGACCCAGAAGAGGGAGCCCGTTAACTTAGTTTACCCTTCGTCGGAACTCGGCCACTCACAGCTTTTGGTCTGAAAGTGAACTTTCAGGGCTTGTTTTTATGTTGCCCCTGCTATTCCCTCTCAAAACTAGAGCATAAGGGCTCCAGGACCTAGGGTTCGGGTCCTTGCTCTCCCTAGATTGCTGTTTAGTACCTTATGCAACTGCACAAACGTCTCCAAGTCACTCTTTAAGTATCTTTTACAGTAGAAGTTGGCAGAAGAAAAACATCAGCACCAAAAAAGTTACTGTTGTAATGCTTTTTAGTACCATGGAGTTAGAGCCTTCATGAACAGGAGAATGTGACAGTCAGAAGTACAGACTTGAGGGTTTTTTTGACATAAGGAAGGAGTGGTTTTATTTTACTTACTTGTAAAGTAGCCCTTTTTCTGGGCATAAAATACTCCAAGGCCACACAATGCCATTACCAGAGCCACAAATACTACTGCAGCGATGATACCACTTACATTGAGGTCATCTGTAATTACAAGACAGAAGTCCAATGTTGTAATCCAATCCAAATTTCCATTGGTTGGATTTGTTTTCCCCCTAATTATTACAGGCACTGTTTGTACCTATTGGAGAACTTTGGCCCAAGCTGTGTTAAGTCAACTGATAACACTTGGATGTAGATAAGCAGTCCAAAAGCACTACAGTATCACAGCCACATTGACAGGAGTGCTTGACACACTTCAACTGCTTAGTCCGGGTCAAAAATAAGGAAAGAATAAGAGGCTTAAAGGGATACATACTCCTCATTATACCTATCCCAAATAAGTATTCAAGTCATACGATTCTAACGGAAAATAACTTGAAATCTTTAAAAGTCTTAAACGAAGCATTTTCATATATAGTTTTCCTAAAATAACTGAAGCAGCTGATGGCAAGTCTCAGTCCTGAAGAACTCTTCAGGCCAGTTATTTAAAATTTAGTGCTTTTTTATTTTTAGACAACAAGGCTTTTAAAATTCAGTATGATAAAGGCCAATAAATATTTTAGCCCAGATATCCAAAGTTAAATTCTACACTGGGCTAATGAAACACCTAGCCATTTTTATTTCGAAGGGGATGACTTATGTTCATTTCCCCAGTATAATCACCAAGAGCTTCAGACAATCATCTGTTTTAGGAGA